TTGGCATATTTACACTGGTGAACAAGTATCAAATTAGGTATCACTTTCATTTTTCAGTATTTTATGTTATTATTCTCACGAACACATCACCATAATCAGACAATATGTATGATGGGACACATATTTTGCTAAATTATTCGAAAGTCGGTTATCCGAAAGAATTCCAGTCGGCCTAAAGTATAATATTTTCGAATAGACTATATTTTAATTTCTGGAGGCCGTCGAAATTCGTGCAAACTGCATCTAACGACAAAAAAATTCCGTGAAGCTATTAAATTTTAGTGGTTAGATGTTGAGAGCATGAGGAGATAAAGAGGTGTCATATAAGGTAGAGGAAGGGTTTAATGGAGATTTTATTCATTATTAACATTCACACTTGTTTATATAACTCATTCCTACTCTCGAAATTAAGCCTTTTGCCATTTTATAATAATTAAAAATATATAAAGTTTTTATAACAAAATCCCGTAACAGATGGCGCCACAAACTATTTTATTTATTTATTTTGAATAATAATAATAATACAAAAGTTTTTTAAAAATAAAATATCTCAAAAGCCGGAAAAGTTATACAACTGGTTGCTAGAGTTTTTTTTCATTAAGTAATTGAATTAATGAAAAAATAATATAAATATACGTTAATATAAAAAAATGCTCAGGGTCTGATCAAGCCCTCTTTATTCACGGGCCCTTAATTTAAGCGTCGCTTAACTGATGCAAACCGAAAGTCACGTTATTTCAATTCAAAACTTCCTCTAAAAGCAGTTAATAGATGACTGGCACGACTCTATTGTGAAAGGAAAAGTACGATGTACAGGGACAACCCACTACTAATGGGCAAATCTCGTCACTTGCCCATTCAGTTTGGCGTATACTTAATTTCCGGTAGTGCGTAAACAGTGGAAACCGAACGGGAAGTTTTAATCTACTTATAAAAACATGGACTTAAAGAATGTAATAATTACTGAATTACGAAAGAAATTAAACGAATTAGAGGACAAGACACACAGGGATAAAGGCAGAACTTTTAGAAAGGTACACAAGCTTAAAATAATAAGTAGAAACTGACGCTTTTACAGTTGTTGGCTTTCGTTTTCGATCTTGTAAAAGAATTATGAGGACAACAATTTAGTTTTAATTATTCAATTTCAATTTGTAATACATTTTTGAAATTTTAGATACATAATAATAAACATAAAACAATGTTAAAAATCATTGTCATTAATGTTTAATGATAATTAAAATAATCTTGGATTTTTGCAATTGTTTCACTTCAATCTTTTCTCTCAAGCATTCATAATTGGTAATTTTAACTGGTTTACTTGATAATAATGCTTGTTTTGACCATAAACTATTGTTATTATGTTCCATAAATTTTCTGTTGAACTTCTAGGAGGCCAGTCTAATACATTTTCTAAATGTTTTCATTAATAAACCATATCTTAGTTGATTTGGTATCAGTTTTCCCATTGAATCCAAAAGTATCTCAAACCATTATACTGCCACCTCCTAACTGACTGTTCATTCTAACTTTGGCTTCTCTTTCCACATCATGCCAATAATATCCATAAACATCCATAAACATCTGCTTTTTTCATTAAAAAACAACTTTTTCACACTCCTTGATCCAGCTCATGACAGATTTAGCCTATTGAATTCTTTGTTGTTTGTATGAGACCCCGGAAATAGTTCGTATTTAAAAAGAAAAGTATATTTTAATAAATTATAAAACAAGGAGGAAACAAATAATATAAGTGCGAACCGGCGACACTAGACTTTGACATCGTCGCTCATATAAAGAATAGAGAAAAGGAGATAAATCAAACAACCAAAGAAATAGAAAAAAGGGAATTGTTTAAAACTTAAAACGCAAAAAGGAAAAAAAAAACGAAGAGGTAAAATAAGGTGTTTTAGTCATCGGTAAATCGCCATCCGTGTCGAACGGATGATGTCGGATAAATCATTCCAGGCAGACCTTTCTCACAACCCGAACTGGTCTCGAATTCCACCTGGAGACAGGTGAGAGACCAATAGAGGAGCGAGAAAAGGGAAGTCCGATCAATAGGAAAACGAATCAAAAATGAAAAACTTATAAAACTCCATAGTCCAAGGATAGGAGGGCGTTCCTCCTCTGTCATTTACAACTTTCTCTCCGTGTTATCACCAAGAGGTGTCTAGCTTAATGTTATTCTGTGCGCAACTTTTATACTCCTGATTCTAACTCGCCGCTGCCACGGGACTTCCCCATCAGGACCCAAGAAAGAGACTTCCAGGAATAACTCCACCAACGAAACTTCTGGAACAACAGAAATCCTGGACTTTATCAAATATATACATGTAAGCATAAACTTCGAAAAATAAACGATTTCTTTGTGAAAAACTTAAAATTTCTGCCTCCACCTTCGACACCCACATACGCGAGGGCCCTAGGACATCCTAACGAAGGAGTAAAATTGGCATATTTACACTGGTGAACAAGTATCAAATTAGGTATCACTTTCATTTTTCAGTATTTTATGTTATTATTCTCACGAACACATCACCATAATCAGACAATATGTATGATGGGACACATATTTTGCTAAATTATTCGAAAGTCGGTTATCCGAAAGAATTCCAGTCGGCCTAAAGTATAATTTTTATTTGTTTTTATATTTTTCAATGTATATATTTCGTTTGTAAAACATAAAGAAATCATTTTTAACGATACAATAGCCACGATTATTATTTTAAAAAGTTTACGTTAGGCTTAACATCGACGAAAATTCAACGCGAAGCGACACGCAACGGAGAAAAATTTCAACACGGAATAGGTTAATATATTTTTTCGTGCGTAATCGATTATCCGAAAAATAAGTTATCCGAACAATCCCAGACCCCAAATGATTCGGATAAACGACGCTCTACTGTATTTTTAAACAATTAAATAAGAACAGACATTTTTTGAAATGCAAAAATATAATCTTTATTAGTTAGCGTATTATAGACGTTTATAAAACAAATGAAATAAACTAATTATTTGATTAAAATTATTTTAAATAAAAACATTTTATAAATTATAATACTACAATATTTAAAAAAAAAAAAAAAAACATGTTAACTTTAGTAAATCAAAGTCTAATAACTGAATATTTATATTTTTCCTTTATTACAGAAATTATAGTTCTTAAATATTTTCGATATTACTTTTAATATGAGATGTCTGAGAAAGCAGCAGACTACTTAAAGATAACTTTTCAATATATTGTAATTTTGGTAACAACTGTCGTGAGATCCATTTATGAATATCATTGTCTTCTCTTAAAGATTGTAAAATTTTACAGATTGGATTATCCAACAGATTAAGAGACTTCAAATTATTGCATAAAGTTAAACATTCGATGTCTTTTATTTTACTTATTGCATTATTCTGAAGATCTAAAGATTGCAATTCATCAAGAAATATGCAATTAAATATATCTGTGATATTATTATCGGTCGCTTGTATCGTTTTTAAGTTACAAAGATTTTCTATACCGTCCAGATCATTTAAGCCGCAATCGTTTATTATCAGGATTTCTAAAGCTTTCAGATCCGTTCCTAATTTTCTTAGAGTGTCTAATTTACTTCCAGTGAGATTGAGAATTTTCAAAAATGGTAACCAACGGCTCCCACGTCTTACTATGCTGTCTTCCGAATTAATTCGAATCTTCAAACATTCAATCTCTTCCAATGATTCTTTCTTAGTGATTTGTTTCAATTTGGCTTTAATGTTTTCTTCATCGTCCTCTTGTAAAATCCTCATTAATTCTCTATAAGGTTTCTCAAAGTTTAAATAATCGTCTTTTTCTATAAAAACAGACATTTCTTTAACGAGAAACTTTGGAATTTCTTTGCGATTCTTAAAATTATTCGAACGAATCTCGAAAATGACGTATTTCAAATTTAAATATTTACTCTAATAAATGTCATTCATTTTAAATTAATAATAAAATTATAAATCTTAAACAGTAAATTTTTAATGTAATAAATTGTAAAATAACTTTAAAAATTACATACTGTATTACTAAATAAATTTCATCTTAAAATTGCAATTAAAATGAGTTGACATGGCTATGCAGATCCTACGGCTCAGAGAATTTCTATGGATCTTATCCGGTAGTACAATAGAAAAATGCTAATTAGTCAATTTATGTAGCAGGAAATTAAATATACTCTATGCAGAGTATTTTTCCCGTACCTACACTGCCTAGCAACATATGGTATTTTGCGCAGCAAAGAATAAAATTACTGTAATTTATTTGTGAATCATTATTCGCTGTTCATTTGTTAAAGATTTTGAACACATTTCTATGACATTACACGGTTACAGTAGGGCCATGCCATACTATTATTAAGGTATCACGATATTTATGCTTATATTTTTGCATGGAAAATGCAAAGCCTAAGGCTCCGCACACCGCTCTTCAGCTTCTATTGTGACGAATTATCTTTCCATCAATTGTAAGCAACTAGAATCCGCCATAGTGTCTTCCCGCAGTTAGATGTATAAAGCTAGGAACTCCACATTACCGGAATCCGCGACGTAATCGTAAAACTGAGCCAAACTGACGAAACTTCCGGTTTTGGAACGTTCTGTTGGACAGAAACAAGACTGAAAGCAGAGTTAAAAATTATTTAACTTTTCCGTTTTCGTTCCTCGCTTCTGTCGTACTGCAACCAATAAAAACGCGAGGATTTTGTGACGCGTAATTACGTGATTTATCACGTGCAGTTTGAAATAGACTCAATGGCGGAAAGTTTAGCTAACAAGGAGAGCCTACGGCTTTGGGGTAACGGATTTTGATGATCTTTGGTTTAGAGGTAGTACACCATGTGAGTGTACTACCTGTAAAATACTAAAGTGCAATACTCAAATATAATCAAGAAAATCGAACTTAAATTATTGAAGCAATATTACAATATTAAAAAAAAAAAAAAAAAACATGTTAACTTTAGTAAATCAAAGTCTAATAACTGAATATTTATATTTTTCCTTTATTACAGAAATTATAGTTCTTAAATATTTTCGATATTACTTTTAATATGAGATGTCTGAGAAAGCAGCAGACTACTTAAAGATAACTTTTCAATATATTGTAATTTTGGTAACAACTGTCGTGAGATCCATTTATGAATATCATTGTCTTCTCTTAAAGATTGTAAAATTTTACAGATTGGATTATCCAACAGATTAAGAGACTTCAAATTATTGCATAAAGTTAAACATTCGATGTCTTTTATTTTACTTATTGCATTATTCTGAAGATCTAAAGATTGCAATTCATCAAGAAATATGCAATTAAATATATCTGTGATATTATTATCGGTCGCTTGTATCGTTTTTAAGTTACAAAGATTTTCTATACCGTCCAGATCATTTAAGCCGCAATCGTTTATTATCAGGATTTCTAAAGCTTTCAGATCCGTTCCTAATTTTCTTAGAGTGTCTAATTTACTTCCAGTGAGATTGAGAATTTTCAAAAATGGTAACCAACGGCTCCCACGTCTTACTATGCTGTCTTCCGAATTAATTCGAATCTTCAAACATTCAATCTCTTCCAATGATTCTTTCTTAGTGATTTGTTTCAATTTGGCTTTAATGTTTTCTTCATCGTCCTCTTGTAAAATCCTCATTAATTCTCTATAAGGTTTCTCAAAGTTTAAATAATCGTCTTTTTCTATAAAAACAGACATTTCTTTAACGAGAAACTTTGGAATTTCTTTGCGATTCTTAAAATTATTCGAACGAATCTCGAAAATGACGTATTTCAAATTTAAATATTTACTCTAATAAATGTCATTCATTTTAAATTAATAATAAAATTATAAATCTTAAACAGTAAATTTTTAATGTAATAAATTGTAAAATAACTTTAAAAATTACATACTGTATTACTAAATAAATTTCATCTTAAAATTGCAATTAAAATGAGTTGACATGGCTATGCAGATCCTACGGCTCAGAGAATTTCTATGGATCTTATCCGGTAGTACAATAGAAAAATGCTAATTAGTCAATTTATGTAGCAGGAAATTAAATATACTCTATGCAGAGTATTTTTCCCGTACCTACACTGCCTAGCAACATATGGTATTTTGCGCAGCAAAGAATAAAATTACTGTAATTTATTTGTGAATCATTATTCGCTGTTCATTTGTTAAAGATTTTGAACACATTTCTATGACATTACACGGTTACAGTAGGGCCATGCCATACTATTATTAAGGTATCACGATATTTATGCTTATATTTTTGCATGGAAAATGCAAAGCCTAAGGCTCCGCACACCGCTCTTCAGCTTCCATTGTGACGAATTATCTTTCCATCAATTGTAAGCAACTAGAATCCGCCATAGTGTCTTCCCGCAGTTAGATGTATAAAGCTAGGAACTCCACATTACCGGAATCCGCGACGTAATCGTAAAACTGAGCCAAACTGACGAAACTTCCGGTTTTGGAACGTTCTGTTGGACAGAAACAAGACTGAAAGCAGAGTTAAAAATTATTTAACTTTTCCGTTTTCGTTCCTCGCTTCTGTCGTACTGCAACCAATAAAAACGCGAGGATTTTGTGACGCGTAATTACGTGATTTATCACGTGCAGTTTGAAATAGACTCAATGGCGGAAAGTTTAGCTAACAAGGAGAGCCTACGGCTTTGGGGTAACGGATTTTGATGATCTTTGGTTTAGAGGTAGTACACCATGTGAGTGTACTACCTGTAAAATACTAAAGTGCAATACTCAAATATAATCAAGAAAATCGAACTTAAAGTTTTTTAGAACTTTATATATAAATTATACGTATTTTTAATTGAGCATCCTGTGGCAGAGTGGTAACGAGTCCGATTCATAAGTTTGAGTTCTCGGTTTCGATTTTCGCGTATAATTTTTTTTTAATTAATAAATACTTATAATGTATTTATTTATTTACTCATTCATTTCTTATTATTTATTTATTTTAATTTAATTTCTACTATTCCAAGTCTAATATTTTTATACTTTTCTTGACAATAACGGCGCATTCTTGACACCTATGTGTCAACTTTCCCATCTAATTGTTATCACTAACGGTGACCGATCTAATTCTCACTAGGAGCGTTTTTCTATCGGAGTTCTTTTTCACTCACTCTTTAACAGTTCGTTTCTAAATTTCGACACGAATAGACGTATTTGTGTAGTAAAACTTATTTTGAAAAATTATTTTATAATTAAAAAATGTCGTCAAGAGAAGCAAGTTCTTCATGTTGTGACGAAAAAACTGTTGATGATAACTCTTTATACAGTGATGTATCAAAGCAGCATAGTGAAGTAAAATACTAAAGTGCAAAACTCAAATATAACCAAGAAAAACGAATATAATTTATTGAAGCAATATTATATAATTACATAGCATTGTCAGATGTNATGTAAGTTCAAAACACACTATTTGGAGTGCGATAGCCGTGAAATTTGGATTGAATGGTAAGAAAGTTTGATATACTGCATCGAACTCCTAAAGTGGAATCGTTTAATTATAAAATGTTTTAAGTAGGAAATGAAGCAGAACAAAAGTGGAAGGTGCAGCGGGATCGGTACAATAGGGAGAGAAAAAAAATTCGAGAGAGTTTAGCCAGGGACAAGAGACATTTACAAAACCACGTGGCATTTATATGATCTCATGGACAGCGTCCTAAGAGATTCTATGAATGAATGTGCGAGGTAAGTTTATTAATGTCACAGTTTCATTAATTGATGATACGTAGATATTTAGTAGCCTATCTAGAGACGATTTTATCGAAATATTAAATCAAATATCTATCGAAAAAATTGCCGTGAAGAAAATACCCCTTAAAAACTCATTTTTAAGAAATTAACAAAAAATAAAATAAAATAATTTAAAATAAATGCTTTTAGTTATAAAATATAACTGCAGGGATTATTATTCTTTCATTAATATCTGTTTTTTGACTAAAATTTAAACTACTATCTACCTGATTTGTTTTCAATTTAGAATTTAATTTTTTTTCTCTACAGTTCAGTTAATAATATGTCCCCTTTAAGGAAAATTTCAAATTTAATACATCAAGATGAAAATAATCTAGAAGATAATCTGGAAATTATTATGCTTTATAATTATAATTATTTATGTGACAAAATTATTGGTATACTTAAATAAGACACTTATTTTTAGTAATGAAAATATTCCAATGAGTGAAACTCAAATGCAAAAGTATGTACACTTTGAACTAATTTAAATATAATAAACCTATATAATGTATTATAAGTTTTTAAACAACTGATTATTATAAATTATTTTCAGCATTTCACCTACAGAAAATTCTGATGTTTTTAATATACCAAGGCATGATTATATTGAATATATAATTTATTGTTCCCTGTACTTTTTCCTGTCACGGAATATTTTCCTCATCCAGAAACGATGATTTCGGCGAGGTTTTGAATGAATCAGCATTTTTAATGTTAATAAATGAAGAGAGAGCATGGCAAAATCCGTAGCGTCGTCCATGTTTGACTCTACGACAATTACTGAACGGATCAACAGATGCATTTCCACGTAAAGTTCATTTCGGTCAAGTTAAAAGGAAAACTCTATTTGTTTCAGTTCTGTTTCTGAGTTTCTGTTTTCAGGTAATGTGGGAGTCCAGGCTTAACACCGATGTCGTACTTCGAGAATTCTGGCGGTTGAAGAGGACCCGTGACAATAACAAATTTAGGAAAAAATGATCATACGATTTGAAAAAACCGGATTTTTAGCATTGACGTCATGACAAGAGCGCAAACGTATTATTCCTAAGAATGTTAAAGTTTCAGCCGCCGTTGTGGAACAAGATATAACTAATGTACTGTACAAGATTCCAACAATGCTCGAGCAATATCTCATACTCACGGGCGAAGAGAACTCCGAATGCAGTTTGCTCTGACATTCGAATGGAAATGGAAGATGCTCCTCACGGGCCTTGGAAAATCTTGTGGAGTGACGAGGCACTGTACATTTTTATTTGAACATCAATATTAATATACACAATTGTCATATTTGGGCTGTGAATTATAATTCAGAAAATAGTAATTAGACGTGCAACCCTTCTGATATTTGTTGTTGGGACATGTAAAAACTTGGTATATCAAGGACACCATCACATTTTCACCAAAATTTTGTCAAATATTTTTTTCTTTATGAATAAAAACCCCGTATTCCAAGAAGTACTTGACCAAATTTAGTTGAGTTTCGCTCAATAGCTATTCTACTACAGGAGCCTAAATACATCCTCTATAATTGTGGACGTGCTATATCAAAAATGAGAGAGCAAAAATCAGAATAAAAAGGCGAATTGGGGATCATGATAAAAGCGAAATTTGAAAAGCTTGATTAGAAAAACGTGCACCGATTTCGGCTTTGACACCACGAGTATCTGGGCACTACAACAGAAAAATGGTTGCTGACAAAAAAAAGGCAGGTCTTAGTAATCATTTTAGCCGGGATCTTCTTTTCGATGCAAGGCACGGAAAGAGATGCACGACACTAATTACGGTCAATGAAGGAGACAGGACTTAGCCACCCAAATGGCTAGGATCTGTTTTCTAAGTCAACTCGAGACTGGGAGGAAATATACGATGACAACAGCCAATGTTGAAAGCGGGTTTTGTAAACCAAGGGCTCAGGATCAGCTTTCCGAGAAAATTTCGGACTAGGAAGGAGACAGGATGAAAACGCTAACTATAGTCAATGATAAAGGCGAGCTTTGCAACACAATGGGGTGGGATCTATTTTCTAAGGTAAGACAGAACACAGAATAAAGATTACTACTATAGTCTGTAACCAATCAAAGGTAGGAATTGCGAGCCGAAAGATTGGAGACCGCTTTCTGAGGCAGATTGAAACGAGGAACGAAAACACGCAGTGATGATTACTACAGTTGAAGAAGCCGGGCCTTAAAGATCTTTCTGTGGCAAGAACGGGACTCGGAATTTAACATACACAACGAAAACTATAACCAGTGATGGGCTTTATCAACCCAAGAGTCTGTTTTTTGAGGCAATTCAAGACTTGGATGAAATAATGATAAAAGAATGTCTTCAATAAAGAAGGCAAGCCCAAGAGATTGGGCTCTTTTGTTTTTGAGATACTGCAGGGAAGGAGGATATGTGATGACTATAGCTGATGATTAGGGTGTCTTATCAGGTCGCAAATCTCAACCTTAATTTAATTTAATCAAAATTTTAATTTGAATGGAGAGTGCAAGTTTTCGCCCTTTTAACAAAACAAACTCTTCAAAATAAGAAAAAAACTGAAACAAAATACAACGACCTTAGAAAATAAAGTAACGTTTGGGCTCAATTCCTCACAGAAACTTAGTGATGGGGTTGCCTTACGAAATGAACTATTTCTAGTTTCTTCACTGTTTTCAAAACATCGGAACATATAGTTGCTGTCATCTGACAAAATGAAACAATATGATTTTGTTTTTAACAATATTTTAACGACTTACTTCGTTTTCGTAGAATTATCATCAAATGGTTGACATCGTTTTTATATAAATATTAGTTGCATTGTGTAAATAATACAAATGATAAAGGAATATAAAAAATAAATATCATTTTTAGAAATCTTAGACAATACTAATATCGTTTAATCAAATTTTTATCTCGAGGATGATTGATTTTTCACTGCCCTCTATCCAATAATGAGCTAAATAGTACTTTAAGTCCCTCTTAATTGGATTTTTCTTCTTTCAAGTAAATGTTTTTAAATTAAAATTCTTTATTTATTGCTCTTATTTCGATTGTTAGTGAGATTCATTTCGAAATCCGAAACATTTCTTTCCATGTATTAGGAATTTTTTGCTTAGAAATTATAAGACACAATTGATGCAAGAAGGAATGTGCGAACTAAACCTGTCTATTCGTAAACAAGAGGCGCTTTTTTCAGGTATAGAAAAGAATATGCACGGGAACAGTCCTTCTACCCATAGTTTTCAGAAAATTCTTTATGTGGCACATCTTTTCTTCCAAGGAAAATTGATCTTTTTTATTAACACATGCAATAATTTAGGAACTCGCGTGACTTCTTCGACTTAGAAACCATATATTATTGTTCTAATCACATCAAAACCAAAATCTAATATCGTTGTTTCAAGAATGTCCTTCTTTGAACATTTAGTCGTTGAAATAAAAATGTGCTCAATTTTACTGTCTGCTTTTCAGCGAATCTTTTTTATTGTTGACAATAATACTGCAGCAACTTGGCTTTCACGCTTTGTAGAATAAGAAACAGGAATAATAAAATCGCCACTTTCGGCTTCCCTTTCGCAGGATTGAATGTCGTACAATTTTTTTTTTTTTATTCCACTTCGAAAGGGTTTGTTACGAGATGTACAGTACCTTCCACTGTAAAACAAAGATGCACGCCCACGAAAAGCCACATTTAATTTCATACGAAATTCACTATTAATAACACAGTACAGTTTCCTTTCTACCTACTGTCCTTTCAAGACAAATCCAACAGAGTTAGCAAAATCTCAGCGATAGGCGTGTCTACGCTGGCTGAACTTTGCGATATTACAGAAGAAAATTTCAGATATCCTATTGAAACATCTAATTGACTACGTTCTTAATAATCTATAACATACTTTTATCCATTTATTTTATTAAAAATAAATTAATTTACAGAAATACAGTAGAAACTCGATTTGAACTTGATGGGATGAGGATAAACGGATAAACGAAATTTCAGATAATCTAGAAACTCGTTTGTATTTTGATTACAGCAACTATTGTGAATTGAAAATTTCATAAACAATGCAAAGAAATTGCTGTATTTAAAGATTAAGTTAGATTTTGAGCAAATTAATTATGTTACTTATGTAGGTCATATATACACTCTGTGGTAAGTACAACGCTACACGTTCTGTTTTATTTTTTTAAACAGTTTCGGATAATCGAGTTTTCACTGGACTTCGACATTTGTATACTTTCAAATTTTTATTTCTTTATTATGCCAATCTTAGCTGGCTTAAATGTTAATATTAAACTATAATCATTATTAATTAAAATTAATAACTGTGACTGTAGCATTAGTGTATTGTAGCCGCGGTAAAATGGCCACGCAGAAGAACCTCTTACGATTTACGTTTTCTAAATCATTTTCTGGAAAACTTTGGATCGGATGACATTTTCCATCTTTTCCCATGCTGGCGGGAATCGTCGTGGACAAGGATCACCCGTAACAAAGCGCAATAGAAGTCCCTTATAATTGGGAGTTGGTGCAATACGTTACAAATTCTACTTGCCTATAATTTCTTATCAAGTACCATCGCTCAATTCGTTTTGCTATATTTATTATCATAGTTAAGTTAATTTTATATTATTCTATGGAATAAATGGAATGTAGAATGTTTTAAAATAACAAATATTGGTCAGGATATTTTAAGATCTTTAATTAAATTCAAACATGGTGTGACTAGACAATATGTGCATAAAAAAGAGCTGCACAATACGAAATATAAACAATGTACACAATTTAACAAACGATACAATGAAATTATAAACATTTGAGATAAAACCAACATCCATTTCTATTGTTTTGATTGTACATATTAATTATCACAATTTTATATGAGAGGTATCATTTTATAATACAAGATATGAGCAATATTCTATCAACAATACTGTAATTTAAACATGTCAGCCGAGCGAATTACGAAAAAAATTTCCATAAATTTAGAAAATATATATAAATATATATATGTTATGTATAAAATGACATTATATAAAAATATAAATTAAATGTGATTTTGAGTAAAAATTTAAGTAAAATGATACTCTTGACTCCTGTATATGATATATATTTCTATAACATTTCTAATTTTAATAAAATTTTCAGTTTAACTTCGTAAACTTGAAAATAGTTTGGAAAATAATTTTCTTCTAAAGTAACTATATGTATACTTTAAATTTTATTCTACAGTCACGAATTATTCGCTCGGCTTTTTAGTCAATAATTCTGAAGATAATCTACTCGTGAGATTACAACTACTCGTATTTACAATATGTTCATGTGTTTAACAAGTAGGCCTATCTACTCATTAAATTGGCTAAAATTTGAAAATTTCAACTTTATAAAACAATAACACGAACTTTAAACAAGAATAATACGAAAAGAATACTTTTTTTTTAACATATGCAACTAGTAAAACTCTCTCGAACAAATGGACATGGACTAGAAACGGGAGAACAATTAGATACGATAGAAAAACTAAAGCTCTTTTCGATTTGTGGCTTTACTAAAGATTTTGGAGAGTAAGTCTTTACTGTAGTCACTTGAGCTTCGAATGACAATAACTGTCCCATAAAATTGAAATTTGGAGAAACTATTCTTCTTTTCTTTTTAACGTATTCGTAAGCTTCTTCCATTCTCAGTTTTCTAGTTGCCATTAAATACGCCATGCATATAGTGGCCGATCTACTAACGCCGGCGTGACAATGGACTAAAACTTTTCCGTTTTCGGAACGAAAACGTTCTAAAGAAAAGAATAATTTCATGAATTAAACTTTGTTACAAAATAAAACTAAATTTATAATAAATTCTAATTGAAAATTTCACACTCGAAATTACAAAGAAAAACTATTTAATGGTAGAAATATTTTAATGTCTCCTGGTTACGCGTGCCGATTGTATAAATTCGGAGAAAATATTTTGTGAAACTTTAAAAAATTTGATAATAATGATAAGAATAAACCCGACAAAATAATTTATAAGTAAATAAATATCCTCCTCGGCTGAAATTAAACTGCGAGTAACGTAATGAGCGTATATTCGAGAATGCAATTCACATTTACATCCCGCTTTATTCTGTTAATTTGCCACGTTTCTGTCTATTCTTCTTTTATTTGAATGCCTTTCCACTCGAAACAATTGTTCCTATCTGTAGCTTCGTATTTTTATTTCGAACGTAAATACCGTCGTTTGGATTTTAATGTCGTGTCGCCATGTTTAACATAAAAAATATCTAACGGGTGGATGGCATGGCCGCGCGGACGTTTACCAGAATTTAAACACTTATTGCGAAATATATTATTATTTTCTATTGTTGTGGGCGCTGCCATGATTTATTTTTATTAGAAAATNAAGAAAAGAATAATTTCATGAATTAAACTTTGTTACAAAATAAAACTAAATTTATATTATATTAAAAATATTAAATTAAAAGGGAAAAACTTTGATAATCTAATTTTATATTTTACCTATAAAGCCGATAGCTTGATTAAACCAGATTGCTATATCTTCATTATTAGAATCTTCTATTGGAATCGATAGATAGGTGAAGGTATCTTCAAAGTAATTCGGACAATTTTGGGAAACATTGACCAATCCAGTAATTCCCAAATGTAAGAGAATAGATTTGGAAGAGGCATGATGAGCGCTGCCCAAATATAGATAGGGTAATAATTCTACTGGTTCCTCTTCCATGGTTAATCTCCCTCGAATCGGAGGTGTTCTACACAAGGGACTTCCCGTTAAACTTAATAAGATGCCATTGAAGGGCGATCCTGAATCTACACACAGATGAGGATATTTCGCTTTGAACTGGCTAAATCCGCCTATAAAATAAATATTCGAAAATAATAAATACCGTATTATAAATTAATTGTTCAATTTTTTTATAAAATAATACATACGTATAACAATAATTGACAATCACATATTAACCTCATATCTTCATATGAAGATATGAGGTCTCACATTCGTGATTGCTGGATCCTTATCTCACCTTTTTCAGGCCCTATTTAATAACAATATACGGAAACCGAAACATTTATTAAATTATTATGTTTATGTTCAAGTGAAGAAACAAAATAAAATTTTTATTTTAAAATGCTTTAAAAAATTATGAAGTTTTGTAATTATGATTAAGAATGTCTTTAAAAAAAGATATGTATAAAAGTTTAAGAAATTCTAAATATATATTTTTAAAAATGTCACCAATAGATCGAGCTTTTAGAGTACCGATCGCGAAATTGCTTACTTTCCACTAACGAAATTTGTGAAAAAAGTATTATACGAATGTCGACCAACTTAATTATCAATTGCTAAAAGCATGGATTATGAACATAAAAGGCTTCCTTCAAAGTTATTTTTGACAATCTTTTATTATTAAATTAGAAGAACTATAAAAAAAAAGGAGGAGGAAAAAATATAGCCACAGTAATCAGTTTTCTAAAAAATAAAATATGTTATCTTTAAGATAAGAATTCAGAAATATTAATAAAAAAATTTATATAGAAAAATCTAAAAATGCAGCTTCCTCGTCACAAAATAATAAACGTGGAAAAAAAACTGCGAATAAAACATTAATTCTAATTATTAATTTTTGATCGAATATAGAAGAGAAGCTTGACTTAAATCGAACAATTCAGTTATCAAGGATTTAATTTCATCACTGGAAAATGATCGATCGACACTCGATTTCTGCCTAACCATAAATATGTCCACGTATTTAATGAACCCAAATACTTGTGCGTGTTATCTTTACTCAATCAGCACACGCATTCGAGAAAATATACAATGTTACGTGTAGATTATACACTATTACAGAATCGACTATCATTTTTCATTTGATAAAATATTTATATCTAAAAACTATTTGAAATCTTGTCTGAAATGTAATTATTAATTCAAACTTACTACTTTTTATTGTATTGATAAAATACAAAATAATTTATCTTCTTCCAAGATCCGATTTGAATTCTTGTATAAATTTAATACTTTAGATTACATTTTTAAATCTTAAATTCATTTTAAAAAATTTAAGATTTTAATAATAAAACTCGTCTCATTTTATAAACTGATGAACGTTTTAAATATCTATTGACCCACATGCGATAAGAGGATAGTAAACATCCTTTTATTTCTTTCACATTCTGGATCAACTCATTTCATTTGCTTCAAATAATTTCAAATAAGTCAATAAACGAAAGTGATGAAGGAAGGAAGAGGAAAAAAAAAAATCTATTGGCACATTTTTTTATTATTGTTATTTTTGGGTAGTTGCCACATTATTTGATAAGACCAAGGAAAATTAACACAAGTTAATTTATTCAAGCGATGAGAAGTTTGTTCTTTTTATAAATAATAATAATAATATTATTATTATTCAGATAGTGGCTATAAATTTTCCGTAATCGATAAGAGCAATTTATAATCGATTAAAAAAATAATCGATTCTTTCTACTATGATTTAAACGGAAAATTCATTCTTTAATTTAACAATATACACTTAAAAAAAGCTTTTCTTTTAACTATTTTTCTCTAGTAATATATATGCTCTATTTTAAATAAATAATTAGCAAAATTTCCTTAAGAAAAAATATTTAAAAAAATCCAAAATTTCTCGAGTCACCCTTCATAAAAAGCGCTTTTAAAAAAAGCTTACTGCAGTTTTTTTTTCGATTGAGTTACGATAAATTCTCGATTACACTAGAGTCCCCTATAACACTGTAGATAATTCCGTGTTGTATGAATTCCATGTTGTACGAGCCAATTAGATTTTACAAATACGTTTACAGTCCGGCACACGTATTTGTAAAATCTAAGTGACTCGTACAACATGGAATTCATATAACACGGAATTATCTACAGTGTTATAGGGGGGTCTACTGTGTATAATATAGATTTTAAGCTTAACGCAGATTTAATAATAAAATTAAGTGCATTAAATTAAAAACTAAAAAGTTAAATATATGATTAAAAAAAAACTTACCGGATAGTAAATAAATACTGGATAAGGAAGCTTCGAGTTGTAAACTTTTAGCAATGATTACGGCCATTGATTCTTCTTCCTCTTCCACATTTTCTTCTTCGTATAAAATGACTCGAATTCCGCTGATTAATTTTTCTCTGACGGAATCTTTAGAAACGACGGCTCTTAGAGGTAAACGACTTCCATATCGTCGTCTTAAAATGTTCGGACAATGAACGTTAATCGATCCGATAATGTGGCACTCGCTGAACGCAAAAAGTGGTCGACAGTCAAAAATTAACAGAAAATCATTCTCTACGTCTTCGTTTACATTTAATGTTTCCAAATAAGAACATAATTTGTCACAATTAACCAATTTGTAATTTCTTATGCGAGGCATCTTCTCGTAACGCAAACTTATTTTCATATAACGAATACCGACCTCATCAGTCAATTTATGAATGGAGAGTGAGAACGATCTCGTCGTCTTCCGCTCGTAAAATAGTTCTGCTTAGAAAATTGTATATTACGAATATTTTACTTTACCAATCGAATTATTTTATAATAATAATTATTAATAAATTTCTAAATATTTTATTACGCATTATATTTTTTTTACAAATTATTTCATCGATTGAAATTAATTTTATCGAACCGGATAACTAAATATAACAGACCAATCGGGATTATGTTGTCGCATGATGTCATATCCAGGACAGCATCTTCCAGCCCTGACCTAATGATACAGTTCCCGGTTATCGATTGATGCCTTCGATTTTCTTTATTTTTAAAAATTAATTTCTATTTTTTTTGAATTAAATTTAAAATTTTAAAGATTAACGTTAATAATAATACAAAAGCAGTTTTAAATAATTTTTAAAATTAATTTTATATGTAAAAAATCATGAAGTGTTGCCAATTTTCAATATATATATATTTTTTATAGCAAATTATAAATTTTTGCATCTAATTTCTAATTTTTTTTTTATTAAATTGCTAATATTAGAATTCTGTATCATTCTAATATGTGTGTACTGTACATCGTCGTACGATTTTTTCTTAAAGTATTTCTAATATAGAGAGATGTTATATCATTAATCCATTTAAAATACATTCATGTTTATATATTAGTGTATATAGTTGGCAGTACAATGACATTCGGTAAAGATGATATTGGAGGTGAAGGCACTTCTGCCTTGCATCGATCGATGCCGAATTAGGTCACTGGGACAACTTTCTTTTCTATAACGTTCTCGTGACGTCAGCATAACCCGGGTCACTGGGTCGTTACGTCATAAGATTCCGAAAGTGTATTATATAAATTATAAATATTTCAACTTTAAATTAACGAACACCTATAGAAACATCATTATTGACGTCAATATTTCAAATTTTTCAAATGTTTTATTTCTGGCTGCCTAGCAATACACCTTTGACGAGCACTTGTCGTACCTGTACAGGCGTCGAGTTCAATAATAATTATTATTTCAAAGAGAATAAAATATTAATTGCTTAAAATTTATTATTATTATTATTATTTCGATTTAATTTGAATTCATCTTTTATAAATAATAAATAGTTTCGATTAAAATTATATCATTCTAGTCAATTAGGAATTCATAAAATAATACCTTGTATCTGATATTCAGCTCTATATATACACTATCTAATGATTTTTAATTAAAAACAACTAATTACATTGTTGCAAAATATATCGAATCGTATTCTAATGAATAAAATATAATTCGTTAATGCATAGATAATTGATATAATATTTATTACTATCATTTTAATATTAGTTAAAAACTCATAATCCAAAATAATTAAGTATAAATGCCTGAAAATCTCTGATATTTGAGTTTTTTCTTCTACTTTTCTATTGATCTGTTTATGTTTATTTCAATTTAATGTAAACAGAAAGATAATACATGATGACAGATGCTTAAATTTTACAAAATTCTAAGGTGATAATAGCATTTATCTTGTTTTGCAATTTTTATTTAAATTTGTTAATTTTTTTTAATGTTTTGAGTTTATTGTTTAAGATAAAGATAAAGAAAAAAGTCATCGTTATTATTAATTAAGAGTAATGATAAAGTTTCCGCAAAGCAATCTTCATATGAATTTAATCAGCCATTAAAATGTATTCTTAAATTATTTAAATAAGTTTGTTTAATTTTTAAACTTAAATTCTACAAAATACTTATGCATTTTTTAAATTCATATTTTAAATCATTTAAGTTTTTATGTTCAGATATTTTAACAATATGTTGTTGTTGTAATTAACTGTGTTTATTATTAAATAAATGACACAGAATAATACCAATTTTTCCAATTAAATGGATATTTTATTTTCAGAAAAAGAGAATAATTTACTCCAATTAAATATATTCTACAATAAATAAATAAATATTAAATCTTCCATAAATATAAATTCATTAACAAATTCCATCATATTCATGGGAAATTTTAATAAAAGTAAGTGTATGTGTATTAAATTAAAAAATTACAACAATGACAATCAAGCCTTGACAATAAAAAATTGTCTCTTGGTGTGCATTTATTAAGATCTACAATAAAGTACCATTACATAAAGATCTTCCAGAACTTGGGAAGATTTTCTATTATTTTGTTATTTTACCAAAAACTACAAACCACAAGAAAATGTTAGAACATGCAGCCATAAAAAGCAGAATATTTTTCAATAGTAAAATCTCTTTTAAAAATAAAGGAACAATATTATAACAAAAATAGTATAAACCATATAAGGGGTGTTCTTATTTTCATTAAATTAAAGAACACAGAAATAGGGTTTTCCTCTGTTACAAATGATGTACAAACAGTGACTGCAATGGTAAACAATTCATCCATTGTCAGTCAATTTACTAGATGTGCTAACTTTACCATCCGTGTGGGACTTGTCAAAATATTTAAAGACAAATCCTTGCCATACTGACAATTTTTTTTTATTATTTTTTTTTTTAAATAAGAAACTATAAACTCTGCAATTATGAGGTAATTCTATTATACAATACATAAATAACAAAAACGCACAAAAACATATTAATGTATTACAAAGTTTTCTCTTTACAATATAACAAATTCAAACAAGTCACTTGACATTTTACTGTTGAACACTAAAAAATTTTTTTTATTAAAGATACTCATTTTGAGTTTTTTTTCTTTTTTTTTTTTTAAAATGTATCACTTATCACAACCTGCTCTCAACAACACCAAAAATGCCAAAAATTACATATCTATGTTTAATTTTATCAAGAAAAATAGAGATTAGCAGTTTTCTTTTTTATATTTATTATTAATTCCCCATTTGTCCAGCCTGGTCAACCAGTACTAACTGTATACATTTACAATGATTCACAGTCCTGATGAGATGGTTGCACACAATCTCATTATATTTTTTTTACAGTTTGTAAGGACAATTTCTTTATACAACCATCTACTTTCAACATGTATTTCCTACATTTCTCAATATACTATTGCACCTCTGGATTGTAATTGATCCGCCATTAATACAAACGGTAGCGGACTACATATCACACATAGGAATGACAACTGGAGGTATTCGTTACCTCACCTGGGTGTGTACATACACAGGCACCTTACGTATTGCACACTTTCACTGCCGCAGCATAAAGAACACATGGATGGTTACAGTTATGCACTGTATGGATTAAAGTTTTTCTTAAATTCCCAGGCTGTTGTCCCCAAACATCTAGCAAAATAGTTTCCATTACACACAAACAGCTTCAGGGATAGCTACGCATGCAAAATATTTCAAAAGTACCACGTGCGTAGCACCATACAAAAAATAAAGTTCCCTTCTATAGTGAAACTGTGCTTTAACATTCAGGTTATCAAGAAATGTTCACTTTTCATCCAGAAATACTACAACGGTCAGAAAAATACAAAAATGTGAAACATTATAAACCTTGAGAAATGTAACATTACATACAAAGGTTTTTATTAAAAGATATATTCATTCTGATGTATTTGGGCTCTATTATAATAAAATGTTTAAAAAGCTCTCTGTGTCCATCTTAGACAAAAGATAATAATATATGATAAAAATAAAATAATTCTTACCCACATTCGTATGAAACCATCACATGGCGAAATAAATTAATTGTACAATATATATTTATCATTGTTTCATTTCAACAATAACTACCACTATACCTACATTATCATGCCAAAAAGTCATTTATGAAGTGTAGTCATAATGATAAACAGTGACAATCACCATGTGCCTGAGCAATATCCTGTATGCAAGTGCCAAATAATTCACCATTTCCTAAAAATGCAGGAGCATTTAATTTATATATATATATATCTATGTATCTATGTTTCAAATAATTTATGGAAAGAAAGGAATTAGCGTTCTAAAATATTTTAATTTCAGAATACAGAAAAATGTGGAAGATTTTATTTTATAAACCAATGTTTTATTAAATAAATAAATATATATATATATATACACATACACACACATATATATATATATATGTTTTTGGCACCTACCTACTGTTATACATACTTCAAGAATCTCTACCTTTTTTGAGGCAAATTTAACTGTTTGACATGAACTACTGTACACATGCAAAAAATTTTGCTTTCAGCCTACCAATTTACTTGCACTAGATTTTAATACGTAAATTTCACAATGCCACATCACACATCTTGACTATTGAGGGATGGGAGAAGTAGCACAACACTAAATTTTTAGTGAGATCAACGTATTATTTGAGAATAATGACTAGACGGGAACATTGTATTTCAAATAAAAACTATAAATAAATAAAGAATAAAATTCCCAATAATACTGTTATTTTTAATAATTCTATTTAAGACTTAGTTATACAACATCAAAAATTTTCCATTTAACCATTAAAGTGGTAAAAAGTTTTAATTTTATAACTTTGAACTATTTAAGGATGACTAGAAAAATTTAAAGAAAAAAGAATAATATTCTAAATAGTGAACCACATATCATATTGCACAGTAGTAACAGATATATTTTTTATTTGTTAACACCCCCTTATTTTTGAGCAGCAGAGAAATATGACTGCTGATATGTGCTATATTTAAGTATACGCCTGTGTTTGGCATAGTGCTAACATGTTTAGCCAGTGACCAAAATCATATCTTTAATTATTAAAGCATCGGTAAGATATAAATATATTTCGGCACAACACTGGTCACTTTTTGGTGTTACAAAGTCTGGTATATTTTGTGTTGTGTAGTTTAAAACAATGACTATAGCTATGCAATTCTTGATGCTTTAATTAGTAAAAATATGGATTAATTTATGCTTTTTTATTCCCTTAATTTTCACTGGAAGGGCTATAAACAACAACAGGAATATCAATCAAGAAAAATAATTGTTGTGAAAATATTGGCTTAGATATGAAAAACCCTACATTGATGCAACAATGTTAGATATACAAAGGAGGGATGAAAACTGCAGGTGAATCATTTCAATCAAGTGGTCTGAAATATGCTTAGCATTTGCATGGTGGTCGTTGTTTCACTGTCTTGAGCTGGCATGCTAACAATCAGGTACAGTTTAAAATGATACCTGCTCCCTGAAATCTGGAGCTTTTAAATGATGGACAAATTTCCAACAACTACTATACAATCAAATCCGTTGTACTTGAGTTGCTGTTGTACAATGAATTGTGCCATCAATCGGGCATAAGATGAGGTATCAATAAAAAAATTCATGGTTCACTCCAAACAGAACCATATATAGATAATTTTCAGATTGTTACTTGAAATATTGGAATATGAATTGGAGTGAAAATGTAAGATTGTATTTTTTTTTAAATATATATACAGTACATGTATATATATATATATATATTTGTTACTTTCTTTCTTTACAGAATGAAAAGTTGGCGGTTTTGGCGGTGGCCGCGGTCTAAGAAGATGAAAAAGTGTGAAGAGCGTNAAATATATTGGAACGGAATGGTATAATGCTAAGGGTATTTCTTTAAAACCAACCTTAATTTCAAAATTACAAAAAAATATAAATATATATTTAACATCTAAAAAATTTGTGAAACTGACATGCAGGAGGCATATATAAATAAGTTTGTTATTTTATATTAAAAATGTTAAATATTTACCACATGACCAATAAACAAAAATGTAACAAGTTTTCCAAAATACAAAAAACGATGACATCTCTATGAGAAACTTCTGTATAAATCAGTACTACAAAATGGTGTAAGAGGATTTTAAATATATATATATATTTGTTTTTTGTTTTTTTTTACTTACACTTATGACTCTATAAGCTATTTAACTTTAAAGGTATATTAATGACTAGATTGACATCACATTTCTGATTGTCCCTACTGCTACCAGAAACATATATAATTTTATTTACTATAAAAATAAAAATAAAAAAGAAAATAGTAATAAAGTCAAGATAGTTTATGTGCATAGAGATGAGACCAATTATAGCAATAAACAATGGAATATATATATATATATATCTACAATTCATACATTGACAGACTAGAAGTATAATTTTAAATCTTACCAAAAAAGTTAAAGTGGAGTATACTATTAATATTATTACTTTCTCCCTATACAATAAAATAAAGTATTTGGGATAAAATCTATGAAAAAATTTTCATTGTTTAGCATTAGGCATAAGCAAGGATGTGCACTGATTATCCATACATCTAAGAGTGACAACTTTTGCCAAGTGATAAATACCAGTTACACAGCATATTAAAAAGAGACAAGGTGTTTACCTTGAAACATTTTGGCGAGATTTGGATGCATGACGTAACGGTACTTGTACACATGACAAGGTTTAAAGCAAAGCATGCAGCAATTAACCAATACAGAGAAGTTCAAAACCTGAGCATATATACTAAGAATGAGGAAGAATATTTTTTCTTTATATATCTTAGGAACTACAGGCATGTATGACCCACTGCTACACAACCAGAAATAACTACATTTTTTAAAATAACAAATAGTGCTTATTTTTATATTCTTAGTTTTACAGAAAAAGTCTGTAAAATAATTTATATGCACATTTCAAATTTTTACAACAAATGAAAATAAATATTTGTCTCTTGTAAACTAGGAGAATATCATCAAATATTAGATGCTATATTTTTAGAAAAATTATTAAATAACTATATTTTAAAATGTTAATATATGTTGATGGATTTTAAGAAATAATACAATGTGATGCACATAGAATTTATATTCTCATAGTTTTCAAGAGACAATTAAAAACATAAATAAAATAAAAATCAAACCACAAAAACTCAACATACATTCACTTTCCACTGTTTATATGTATATAAATATATCTAAATTATTTTTAAAAACTGTTTTCAAAGAATAACAAAAACCTAAATGTGAAATATTTAAAAAATAATTGGCAAAAATTTATATTTATATAATATTTTTTCTCTTAAAAATAGAATTAAATTAAAATTTATTTAAGAAACTATATAACATCTTGTTTAAAAAGACCAGCATTCATTTTCTGAGAGTAAATAGTTTGAATGCGGTAATAATTAATAAGGTACCAAAAAACATTTGCCACTGGCTGGCAAGATCAATTCATTTAAATATATTATAATACTTAAATTATGTTCTATCATTGTGTGAATATTTTGAATGCCTAAATGAAAAATGCCATGTAGATTGCTAGATTAATAATAATTTTAAGATAGAAATTGATTTTAAGATGGCAATTTTCTATTTTTTATATATATATATATTTTTTTTTTTAATTTGAGAAATATATATCAATGGTAAGGCTATAATTATTGCTCAGGTGACAAATTTTTTTGAATTTGTTTTGTGAATATTAAAGCATTAATGAATACATCTATCTGGCAACAATTTTACTAAAGTGTAGGGAACTCCCAAGGCAACAATCTTCAACCTCAGAAGCTAATTTTGTACTGCTGGCACTATTTTAAGGTGACTAGTAAAAGAAGTCAATAGTTAGAATGTGCTTCATGATCATCAGCTTAAATAATTATATTAATCATTATCCAATCAGTATTATTATATCACCATATGATAAGAACAGAACAATTCTTTTCCTATCTTTCAGCTAGGAATATTTTTAAAGGCTATTTGCAAATATCAGTGATGAAAAGCCTTATTTTTTTCAGCAGCAATTTTTTATAACAACAATTTTTAATTTTAGTGTCTAACACCATCGGAAAGGTACAGCACGAGGTCGATCTGCCCCTTCTTTTACTAAAGGCTTATGAAATTCACGACCTGGCCGTGAATGAATGGTTGCCCAACAATGTTCACAGTAGTACTGTAGACATGTAACATTGGCGCAGAAGAATGGAGCAAACTTGCCACTACAGCGAGCTCCCTGGCATTCATCACACATTTGATCATCTAAAACGTAAGGTTTAACTTCAACCTGCAATGAGAACAAATTGTATTTAATGATTTAAAATTATTTATTATTGTAAACATTTAAATTAATAATAGTTATTTAAATATATAATATGTTTAAAAATATATTTATAATAATAATAATAACAACAAATTTATAATATGAGGAAACAAATTCATTATATATTTTGAACTTTGCCGGTAACCAGCAAAGTTCAAAATCCGGTATTCTATAGAATGCCTAAAACTAGCCGGCAATCTATGAAATGATTCATATTTTACAAATTTCCTAGGCATTCTATAGAATGCCAAATGAGGAACTGGCAAAGTATGAAATACCTCTCCGATTCGTTTCGAATATCATGTGGCAAGGCACGTGACTTTTAATGCGCGCCTCAGGCTTAGAATTTGTCAGTTGCACTTTGTGGTTTGTTCGGGAGTGTCAAAATACGCAATTTTACTTAAATTTGTTCAACAAAAAATTAGTTTTTTACTGTTCTCTATGAAAATGGAGGAGAATAAAGCTGTATTGTTGGAGAAGGTGTCATGGTCTATAGATATGAAACAACGATTCGACGATGAACTGTCCAAAATTTGAGTTAATGCTGCAAAAAACAGTATTTTCTTAACTGAAACTACTTACTAGAAGTTAATAAATGATGTACAAAAAGCCAAAATGACTACTAAGAAGGAACGCAGGGACTATTGGTTGCTGAATCGCTATGATGTGATGATTGTAGAAAACAAAAGTAAACTCATTTATCCTGTTAAAGAAGGCGTCAGTACTATACAGTATTACGTCATGGACTCAGAGTTATTTCACATACTTCATGAAGCTCATTTGGCTATTGGACACGGAGGACATGATAGAATGTTGAAAGAACTTTCAACCAAATACAAAAATGTTACACGTCATGATATTGAACTGTACATCCACCTTTGTGAACCTTGTCAGAAAAAACAGAAAGGTATTAAAAAGGGCATTGTTGTGAAACCTATGATTTTTTCCAAATTTAATTCCCATTGTCAGGTAGATCTTATTGACTTTCAGTCTCAGCCAGATAGAGAATACAAATTTATTATGGTGTACCAAGATCATCTCATAAAATTTGTGATTCTTAAGTCTCTAATGTCAAAAAGGCTGAAGAAGTAGCCTACAACCTAGTGGACATATTCTTGTTGCTTGGAGCGTCATCTATATTACAGTCTGACAATGGTAGGGAATTTGCCAATAATGTGGTGACCAGCTTGAAAGAGTTTTAGCCAGCACTGAAGATCGTCCATGGGAAACCTCGCCATTCACAAAGCCAGGGTAGTGTCAAAAGAGCTAATCAAGATATCGAAAATATGCTCTCTACTTGGATGCAGGACAACGAATCTGAGTGCTGGAGTAAAGGACTGCATTTCATTCAATTTATGAAAAATAGAGTTTATCATTCTGGGATCAAAAGAACACCATACGAAGCTCTTTTTGCTGCAAACTTAAAGTAGGGCTTACAACATCTTTTCTACCAGAAGATGTTTTAAAAGACATAAATAGAGAGGAAGAGCTAGAAAAAGTAATAGAAAGCGTCAAAAGCAATGGAAAAAAGGTGAAACTAATCAGATTATGCAAGAAAAAGAGTCTGTTTTAAAAAACATGGATGAGATTACAGTCATTAGTGGATTAAACCAACATGATGAAGACATGCTTACCGAAGAGATTTTCATTTCAGATACCTGTTGTGTGTGTTTAAAGGAAATGAGTGATGCACTTGCATGCAAAAAATGAAAATGAATTCGGAAAAAAATTTTCCACTGCTTCTTTGGGAACTACTGTGCAAGTTCCAATTCCTGATGTTGACAAGGGGTGAGGTGATTTGTGCAATATATTGGATGTTGTAATGAGTGTGACAGAGGATGGTTTCTACTGACTTGGAACTTCTGAAGGAATTTTAAAATAAGTATATGCAAGATCACAATTCACTTTATGCCCTAAGAACTTGCTTAGAATTGAAGTTATTCCTGACCATGAAATTCCTCTCCGGTCAGTTGCAATTGCTCAGTCTAGTGGAAGCAGCCAAGGATTTGTCAAATGTATGTGTAAAACAAAATGCCAAAATATGAAATGACTTTGCATGAAAAATGTAATGAAATGTAATTCAAAATGTCATTCAAGCCTACCATGTTGCAACAAGTAGGTTAATTTTAATTTCTAATTTTTTATATGAAAATTTTGTTTACCTTAATAAAAAAGGCATAAATTTTGTTTGTACAACTTTCATTTTTCTTTACATATTTTGAATAAATTTTTTTAAATGGCACTCTCATTATTTTTTCAGAATAACATTTGTATTTTTGAAAAATGCACGTCATTTATATAATAACCTTATCAGGACCTTTTTTCATATTTTGCCTAAATAGCATTTGTCATTCTATAGAATGCCTAGGTATTATATACAATGCCTAGGGAAAGTATATAATAATTCTCATATTTCATACATTGCCTAAAAATACTGGGCATTATATACAATGTCTAGGTATTCTACAGAATGCCGGCTTTTCAAACTTTGCCGATAACATATACAGTATATAAATTAGGTAAAAGTTTAATTTGCAGAATATTAATAGGTTAACATTTAGATGATCATTATTTAATCATTACTTCATTAATTTACTATGCAAAATTATTATTTAATAAGTGCTTTTTAATGTGATCATCCAGCTAGTGTTATGCTATATTTTGATTAATAAAAATATACAGATAATATTGTTTTATTAAAACAAAATTTGGTCAGTAATATTTTGGTGCAGTGTTATTTATTGTGATCATGCTTAAGTAAAACTTAAGCAAAAAGTAAAAATAAATTTTAAATAAAAAATCATGTTCAGTATTAGAATAATGTAGGTGTAAAGAAGAAAATTATTTTTATTTGATTGTTGTTGAATCCAAAGTGTAAAATTTGGTTATTTGTTGCTTTAGTATGTTGATAACTTGTGACTCTTCTGTATTAATACTTAAGATACGGTGGCGTGCCGTGACACTTGACGATAGGGAAGCTGTGTTTCTGTAAGAAGCCAACATCCAGGTGCAATCAGTCAATTGCGCGTCAGTGATGGTCTAGGATCCATTCATATCATTTATTCGATTAGCCAGTAAAAACTGTAGACTTCTCTAAATGCATTTTTAATATCACAATTACATTCCGAATCGCTAGCCACGATATAAGGGCTACAATTAAAAATAAAATAATAAAAACTTACTTGGTGAAATAAAATGTGTGGTGGATGTACCGGTACATACCTGGTACAAAATATTCTTCAATTGTATGAATATACTTTTAAAGAAAATTATAATTAAATATAGCTTTGTAAAGAAACGTACATAAAAATATAAAATATTCTTTACTTTTTAAATCTTAAAACAATGCACTTAGTCAAATAGCTCCCTACGAGTGGCTAATGGATGGAATCGAAGACGGTTGCAGAGCGTGCATACACGCGGACTGCCAAATCCCCAGGGTGCCGATACCGGTCAATGTCAAATACCTCTTTTGTTACATCACTAGTATATCTGAAAGGACGTGGCAGGGCTGTTGCACATTTTAAATGTTTCTCACCATAGCTGTAAAAATCTAAATATGTTAAACTTAATAGTCATTTGTTTTCTAACTAATTCGTTTTAGGACCAAGTGTCCTCAGAAATTTCCAAATTTTACAACTTTTCGGTCACTCTCATTGAACTGGAAAAATATCTGTCTTTATTACATTAATAATACGAAGAAATCAGTCCCCACTGTACTTGGCTAGAGATTGGCTCGGTTAAGCTATTGTTTAAGTAAAATTTCGGTTCTTCCGTCAGGGTTTTGTTTATGTCCCCAATTCCCTAATCACTTAATTATTTAACTACTTCTTAAGTAGAAATAAGTTGAAACCGGTTACTTTGTACTCGAATATTCGTAGTCTCAGGAAAAAAGTAGAAAGACAAATTTTTATGACAAACAGATACATAAATCATAAATTTAAGGAAAATAAATTCTAGAGCTTTTTCTGTACCTTGTGCATCTCTCTCATTCATTAAATATAGTTGTAAATGATCCTGTCAAAGTAACAGTTAATTTTTTAACATTATACAAGAATTGTATATGTTTTTTTCTACATCCCCTTACAGATGGGATATACAAAATCGTAATATCACTGCTTTAACATTGAAATTCGTGAATAATATAAAATCGGAGAGCAGAATAAAAATATCAAATATTTTAATGGATTTTTTTAAACTCCTATCAACTATACAGAACTATCATAAAAACATACCAGTAAATTCTTATCAGTTGGATTAAGTTATAAATCTACTTGTGATTCACATAATCTGGTGAGAGTGGCCAAATATCTAGCAGGCAGACAGCTAACAGCCCAGAACCAGTCCTGGATAGAATTGGATGCAGTATATGTGTAGCATCCACCCAAGGTCCTAGGCTTCCACCAGTTAAACTGGGTGAGGTTGGTGTTCTGTAAAGCACATGCACAAATCTGGCTTTTTGGATGCTGACAATACAGCGCTTCCACACTGCCACTAATATTTGAATATACAATAGCAATCTTGTTTTTTTTCACGTATAGTATAGAAATTTGTAATAAGATAGATAATGCAATTATAATAAAATATTGTGCAATTATTTTCATATAATTAAAATTAATATGTATTTATTATTTAGAAAATACAAGGGAAGCAGCGCATCCACCGTTTCCAATGACAGCAAGCCACTGTTAAGATAGTTATATCTATTTAAGTTGTGGAAATATACTTTTAAGAAAATTTGACTGTATATGCAAATCTGCAGGACAGAATGAAAAGCAAATGACACAAACAAAGCTCCATTAAGTTAGCTTTGGGCCCAATTATAATTTACATTCTAATTTTGGAGACCATAAAAGTCCAAGTAAAAGGTGAATATTAGAATCAAGAAAATATGATATTGAAAATAAAATTTTTGTTAAACCTGATTACAAAAAAATATGCATTATGATTAGATTACTTTTAGT